CAGCTTTGGAAAAGAAACCATCAGTTGGCTGTTGAGCGTGCATAGACCACTTCCCTTTGCACGTTGACTTAGCCCCCACACACCTATTGCTAAGCTCGTTATACTTGGTGATCCAATCAGTAGTATCAATAATCTCCAATAACCGAACATGAAAGACAAAAGGGAGAGATTAGACAAATGCGCTATCACTTTTGCATTACAGCGTCACTGCGGTTACGGATGGTTTATTTAATTAATACCAATAAGTCTTCACTCAGTGCCCAATAATGTGACCGTAATAAGAATGATAGTAATTATTTATCTATATACCGAGTGCTACAGCAATGAATCTGCAGTCCAGTAGCAACATTAGATTTTTTACATTCTTTATTTTCATCAACGGTGTTGGGTGGTGTTGAGGAATGCTGATGGCTCTTGTGGATTCATTTGATTTAGACTGTTAGCCAGTGAAATCAGAAGGCGATCCCAACTCATGCGGCTACCCAAAACGGTATCATATCAACGGAGTCACCGCGAAGCCGGTCGTTGGCGTTCCTGTGAACTGTCAGAAAGAAGTGGATGTTATAGATTATGTGTCCGTATAACTTTGAATTTAAAAGTTTTATTTTGTGGGACGTTCGTGCGCCATACCAAATAAGTCACTGTATGTAAGAGATTCCTGAACAAAAATCACTCTATAGAACCATAAATTCAGTTACTTTAAGGAGTTTGGTAAATGAGTCTGTGAGGACAACCGCAATTATAGTAAGGTCGATCCATTTAGGCAACACGGCACTGGAAGTCAACTTACAAATGTCGGAGTCTAGGGTTGTTTATTTTTAACGGGTCATTTTTCAGAGAGTAAACCTATAATTTCTTCCACCTCCAGCTCCAAATAGTATTTTACCTGGTATAATCAGACTTTGTGCAAATTATGTTTCCACTAGTAATGTTCACTTAGGTGACGCGCTGAAAGAAGAACCCGTTTCCACAATGTGAGGAGTTGGTTTTATATAGATTATTGACAACTGTCAGCTTTGTGACCACGGTGATTTTGATTAAAGTGGATAGCACCACACTATATATACACAGATGATGGATACCTGTTGTGTAGTGTTGTTTGATGGTTATGTTACTTTAAAACGGTTTTATATTTGGTTTTTGTTTTAGAAGACCTACATCGTTGAGTGATAACCCAAGTTTAGGTTTGGAAAAATAAAGTCCATTTGTCTAGAAGGGGCTCCACAAGATCGTCCAATAAAGAACATCTGCGCGTGATTTATCATACTTGTGTCTTAACGGTCTACTGCAGGTGCTTTTTAAGAGCCTCACTTATGTCGCACTAAGAGGCAGATCTCAATACCGCCAGACCCTCCAAAGTAAATGACCTTAATTGGATGCTGTACTGATAGCTCACTTATCAGCAGGTATTTTTCTTATGTAAAGAATCATATGGGAAATACGAAGAGTAGTAACAGACTCATGATTATTGTCGGCTGCAGATCACCAATGGGTCGAAAATGGACCCGCCGAACGACAGCTGACACCACCTGTCCGCAGTTGGACAAGTGCAGCCAATGAAATTTATAAAATGCTTGTTTCTTTTCGACACCCAGTGGCAAATTAGATGAGACAGCTTGTAATTAGCCAGTTTATTTAGTCTGACTAATCGTGGATTCTTACTGAGACTTGATTATTGTCAAGCTGTATGACTGGGGTAGCACTGACTGTGAGTGCCAAAAACAGCTGATCAAATACAAAAATACTCTGTTTTAACGAGATACTGTAAGGTTGTTGTGATTCGGGGGTTCTGGTGATTTCTTATGAGCCTGGTAGCATTTGTTCTGAGTCCCTCAATTAACGTAAGATAGGCAGCCGAATCATCGTATTAAACAGTGCATTAAGAAGAATGACTTTATGATCATTCCTTGGGAACAGGTTCAAAGCATTCCGAGACGGGGACGACAGTGTATAATCTCATATCTATAAATAGAACACTGATATGTTTTCATCTGGCTTGTCAGTGGAAAACACTGTTGCAGAACTCAAGGTTACCTACTAATATCACATTCCCAGCTCATATGAAAACGCAACTAATCGTTTGGGAACTTGGGATTTATAACCCCTCTTTGGGCTTATACGTGATACGATTGGCACTACCTATTTATGCATACGGAAGCATTTACTTGTGTTTGTTGGGTCTGTTGTTTCAACAGATTAACTCGCCACTTCGTACAAAACAATTTTAGTCTTGGAATCATTATTTATAGGGCTTTACATGATAGCCAGATATCTGATGCTCCATATTAAAATGAGCTGATGGCCACTTAGAATATCTCCAACCATCAAGATACTCAGGATATTGTTAACCAAAAACATGTCCATAACAAACAGCAGATTAGCTGACTTAGTAATTCGCGAGCTGTTGACGGAAGTGCGTAGATTTAGCTCAAAACTGTCACCTGTAACTCCACAGTTTGTCTAGACAGACGGCTCAATGTTGAATGTCCCTTTCTACTGATATTTGAACTCTACGAGGTAGATTTGGTAAACAGGCTCTGTGCGGTGATCATGGATCAAAACGAGATGTCGACGCTAAACATCCTCTGACCTAATTAATATTTCCAATGGAACCGTAGTGAGATACTCCCTCTTGGAAACTAAAAATAAAGCTTGCTTCCGAGCCCTTATGCACATATAAAAGAAAGGATAAACAATTTTACCATTCTATACCGATAAACGCAAGCAAAAATAACGGGGACTGTAAACCATCGGTTGCCAACGCCTTATTCTTTGTGCGCCATAACGACAGTCAAGTGAACCTTGGTCGGTAGTCACATGCCACCTAAAACAACAGTTGTGCACTACCCGAATGGTTTTCTGCGGTACGAATGGTGACAACATGTTGTGTACACAAACAGACGATGGCACCAACTTTAAATTTCTCAACCGCTTATATATACCTGACCCACAAGTCCATTAAATTTGCGCATAATAATCACCTAAACCTGTACGTTGTGAATTCTTACAAGAAGCTTTTTAACATCGGCTGATTTTGGCTTATTTAAGGGTTGCACAGAGATAAAAAAAACCACTTATGTGATTCAAAACTGATCTGCAACACGCAAAGTGCATAAACGAATCAGCTGCATTTAGCGCTTTTAAAGAGCAGCAGATATTAATTGCTTTTATTGCTAATTCGTTTTACCTGGATACTGTCGAATAGATCAGTGATAAAGAATAATAAAGGGTCTACCCATTAAGTCTCCCGGGGATGATACTTATTTACTTCTTCACGCGGGGCTGAAATGAGCTTACAACAAATCAGCAATTATATTACTCGACTTAACATTTTGAGAAGTATTCTCGCAACTTTAATTAGACCGCATTAACACTTTCTGGGAACGCACACGATGGAAATGCACAAAACGTCAGGAATCCACCAGGTGAGTCATTCAGAGGAGGACACTCGTAGAGTAAGCACAAACTAATTGCTACAGAATGAAGCCTTACCGTGATGTCCAATCACAAATTGAACGATGGTTTGGTAATTGGTCATTCAATGTAATATATGCAAAAGTATTCATCTCTGGATCTTGCGGTATACGAAATGAATGCGTTTTTAAAGACTGTTTGACACAAAACTCAAAATGGCCTAGTCATTGTTGAAACTAGACTAAGCATTTATTCATTAGAAAAATCCGAGTTCGTTGTTCAGTCTGAAAAAGTGATTTATTCTGGTATGCACACAGTCAGCTGTTTATTTCAAAGGCTTGCTCTCATCTAGTTGGTGATATCAGGATTACTGTTGTAGTTAAGCATTCCACCAGTTAACATGTACACCGGCGACCTAATTCTCAAATCCATGTGAACACTACACCGTCAATCGACTGTCTGATTACCGCGATCTTAATCTGTCATTTCCGGTACATATCACTCCGGTCGACCGTGATCACCTACCTCGTGTAATTATGCCCAGTTATTTCGAAACCTAAAGTTTTTGCAGGACGCAACGACCTCTTGATCTTTAAGGAAAAAATTTAATGTTGAGTGGAATCAACATTAGGTCATAACTTAATGAGATATAATTTGAAAATGAACAATTCAAAACATCATCCGGAATGCGCAATAGTTCAAAAGTGTTTCAGTATGAACGTCACCCATCGGTAAGTTTGCTGCACGTCTGTTAATTGAAATACAATTGTGTTTTTGGTTAAAATCGTACAAACTCATCAGTACTGATACAGTGATTGACAACCCCAAATATCCTTCCCCCCATATTCTGTAGCTGGTAGATCCTATCGGGCACCTTTTAGTATGCCTTATTCTTGCAGTCAGTTGTAAACAAAGGAAGTGTGCTCCCGCCAAAGTGCCAATGAGGTCGGCACAAATACATGTGAACGGTATTTTAACCCCCATAACCCGCAGATATACATTTAAATATATATATATATAATGCATTATATTTTATGGGATATTTGTAGCCCCAAACCAGTCGGCACGTTATTGCTAGCAGGCAAAAGATGGTGATATGAATACCCTCAAAAGCGTCCTGAAGATGGCAGTTGGCAAAACGACAGAACGTTCCTATTTTGTTTCACCACAAAATGTCACTCTAATAGGGATATAATGACAGAGTTTTGGCTTCGAAAACGGAGACAAGCTAATTATAATCTTACGTTTGTTGTTTAGCATATCAAGGAAATCTCTACTCGACCTATTTTCCTGTACCCCTCACACACTAGAAATTGGTTATTTGCCGTATGTCTAATGGCTGCTTCAGCAATAGCCATCCCATTAACTCACGAAAACCACAAGTAATGTTATGTGTCACTAGTCAATCGTTACCAGCTTAATGGCACACTGTGACACCCATTCGGGTTGATGTGGTTTGATAACATTTCGCTTTTCCAGGACGACTAACTTGCCCATTTTATCATGTAGGTTTCGGTAATGGGAAAGTTTCCTCTAGAATTTTTGAAACGCTTAAAGTGTAATCTACTCACGTATTTCACAATTACTTATGACCGTCGAAAAAGGCCCGAAATGTTTCACAACAGATAGAATTTTGCGTATAAGAAAACAAGCAGAGCACTCCTGAAAACAGTACGTAAGATTTGCTATTGTTTTTGCTGTTTTTGAGGTTAATTTCAGTATAATTGCTGGACAAAAGGCCCACTTGCTTAATGAGTTTTACCCATAATTAGCGGTTGGAATTTTCACATGAACAGGTATGTCTTACCTTATTTTAATCATGTAGAGTTAAGAAATACTATTTTTAAAAATCGCAAGCTTCTTCATTCCTTTAAATACGTTGCACAGAAATGCTACTATATTCGGTCAGTACACTAGGGAAGACGCAAAAAGTTCACCGATTTCATGGCGATATGAATGGTCCGATTAGTCAGTAAGCTGGTACTGAAAAGCGCACGTCATCACAACCCGGAGCGTTAACTGAATGCTCTTTCCTGAGTGTGAAAACGTATGGACTCAGGCACTGAACAAAAGGACAGCTCAGTACATTAAATCTAATCCCTAGGGCCAATAAGTTGAAGAACATTGTTTCCAAAGTGCTTAGTCTGCGTTCGCGTAATTTAAACAGGGTATTTACAAATATCATCTTCCGGGTTAGTAAGCATGCCGCTACACACTAAGCCAGTGGGGGTACGCTGTCAGAAAAAATGGCGGCAACCGGTGCTATTACGTGCAGATTCTCTCACATATAATCCGTATAAACTTATTGGAACCCTTTGGGCTCATAACAAGTGGTGCAGAAGCAGTCAAATAATGGTACTTTAACAAGCATATCCAATTTTAACGGGGCATGTATACTGAATTGCGTGATTAGTTCTGCTGTAAGATGGATGTGCATTGTTCTGCACGAAGTCTTTGTCATCATATTTGTCCTGAGCACATATCACCCACTTAGTTCAGCTGTGGGCTGTTTGGTTAACAGACATGTTCGGAGGGATGGAGAGCTCCTATCGAGGACGTCCACAAATGTTTACTCTCATTGTACCTAATCCCGAACGTTCAAGTGAAACTTGACCGACTACTGCGGAGCATCAGATTGTCCACATAAATAAATTATTGATGTTGGTAGGGTAAGTGACGCATTTCGTTGACAAAATGAAAAGACTCATTTTTTGACGTAGGGGAGCATTTGGAATTCATTATTCTTGAGGTCGCAATCGGCCTAAAGCCACAAAGTGTTTCAGGATGGTTTTTAGGCCTGTAATATGCATTGATGAGTTTCAGGAACCCTACCGTTGGGCAACCCTCCTCAGGATCAGCTAGTTGTTACCGCCCTAACCTATTTGGCACTAACTTGTTAACGAACATGAGGCATCCCACAATGCAACTTTTCCATGAAACCACCTCCTATTTCGTCCACTGAACTAGTCGCTAGCCACATGAACATTTTCTCTAAGGCAGGTGAACTGAAAAAATGAAACTGATCTTTTCAATTATCGACACAGGTTTTCTAGTTAGTGGTTAGTCCAAACCAAAGATTTGATTGTGGAAGACGGAAGAAATCAATTTCTCATCACCCTAAACGTATGTGTTACATCTGCTGATTCGCATACCTGTTAACCTGCTTCAGTGCCTGATGCCGGAGAAAAGACTCACAGAAGGGAACTTAACCGCTATATTCCGAAACAGCTAGTGCGAGTGTGAGAGCAAAAGTTACAACAACTTAGAGGGGACTTTCTGACATTGATCCAGGCTCTCTGATAGGCGTTAGTGAACACCAGTCAACATCGATCGTGCCTCTATGAAATACCTGAACGCTGATCACATTCGGTCGTGCTTCTGTGGCATGCATGAGGACCCATTGGATTTTGCTGAATTGATTGATTGATTGATTGACTGGCCTGGATGCTTACCGGCTTTCCTGTTGAGATTTTGGTGGAGTAGTAGGTTTCGGGAGTTGTGAGGTTACTTTCAGGAATCTGACCTTCCTGATAATGTGCATCGGGGTGGCTTTGCCAGCATTTCAGAAATCATGGTTCAGCTATGATGAACCGAAAAGCTCAAGAGCCGTCCTCTAAAGCCATCAGCCATCCACACAGACCATTCAGTTATATTCAGATCGGATCGCTTATATAATCGTTTCAACGGCAACTGGTTAAATGGCGCTAATTACTAACAAATACAGTCCTTCGGCATATGACACAGAAAAACTTTAGTTTTGAGGGTGATTACGATGAAAAGTCACCCTCCACAATATCCACGTCTACGGACTGATTGCTGATATTTGCTCTGTCAGCTGAAACAAGGACCATAATATTGGGCACTGGAGCTTTAACATATCTTTCTAGAGTCATTAGGTCTACTTGCTCTTCATCAGCTGATGCCAAGATTTATGGGAATTTTGGATAAAGTGTTTCAATTTGCGAAACGGAAACCGGCAGATCATCCTTCAAAACGTTCCTCACAAAACCCACCTTACCATACCTAAGACACATCCGTTGAAGCATGTTTGTGATCTGCTGGAGCTAGTAAGTGGTGAAACTGTAGAGATAACAATTACATTGCATGGGTGGCCTACTGGGACCTCGATCGCAGATTAGATTCAGAAATTGATCGTCCATTCTCCACACAGCCCAAATATAAAGTTGTTGAATCCACTGTAACGAAGTTTACGTGGTTGAATTTCAACTTTTTTTTGTGCACGTAATAAAATCCTATTTTTTCGTGTCAGCTACAAAAACTGGACGCTGTAGGAATTTAGGTGAAACGTCATTTTGGCTTTCTGGTATTTTAAAGAAATTAAAGACGCAAAGCTTGGTATTCATTGACTTAGATTGATTAATTATCCCACTGGATTGGCGCACGCAGATTCGGTTGGGTGCGTAGGTCCCCGTTATTGTGGGTGTATAACCCCACAAAATTTGGAAACCAATGTGTCTCACATTTTGTAACTCATCGCAGTGGGTAACTGCTTTCTTATTGCATCTAGATCTTTTGGGGTAGACTTAATGGACCGCAGTGAGACGGTTAGGTTGGGACCAAATTCACCACTCCATTACAGCCTGTTTTGCAAACATTTATAGCAGTAGAACGATACATGTTAGTCCCAAAAAATTTACATTTTGTATACTTACGTCTGAGTTTGTTTTATTTGACCATGAGCGTTAGTGACTGGTGAGACTCGTTTGCTCTTTATCGAGTAACGGCCGATCAGACACAGACAAGAGTATATTTTCTCGTTGGTACATACGATTCCAGTTTGCATACGAAATTGTTGTTATTTTGATTAGACCGGAGCACAACATTCGTCAGCCGCGGGATGAGATGTTACGTTACTGATTGTTGAAAGCAACAATTGATTCTAACTCTGTTGTATGTGTGTCAAATCTCAAGTTTACTTGAAAAAGTTCGGTGTCGCCTCGAGCTATGCTATGTAATCATCTGCTGTCCACAGAAAAATGTATCCCCCGATGAAACCTTTACCTGGTTTCCTAAAATGTTTTTCTCATGCTTTATTTGTCACTAAATATGTGATAGTTTGAGCCATCACGACTAGCTTCTTCACCCGAATTCTACTCAGGCAGAGAGTCTGCTGGAATGCGTAGAAACAAACAGCTTGCTGCCGAATAGCCAAATGCAAGCTTGTAAACAATAAAGATTCAAGCAAGTTGTCTGGATGATACGTTGCTACAGAATGAGAAATACTGCTGGCTGTTTAGAGAGCGCTTACAACAACGACATCCTTTAGGTAAACGAAATGGCAGTTTAACATCTAGCCTATAGTAAACGATGCCTGTGCTTTTTGTCTCTCCTCTGAAGTACATCATTCCTTTCGTTAGAAAGCCGAGCAACCCATTTGACAATTCAAACCATGTTCTACTAAAAGGCAAAACCTAACTAGGGACCGTAGGTTACACCGTACACCATGCACACTGATTAGAACATTTCGACCACAAATCTAGAGCAATATGTTGTGGACGAAAACGGTCACGTCGTTATCCCATGAGATGGCTTTGAGGTAACTAGAATACGTGAAATCATTCGAGACATTATCGGAACCAGTCATCCATCAATTCGAATTGTAGCTAGAACTTCTGTCTTGTTTATGTTTCGGTGGGGCTGAGGGTCCCGTGAAAAAGTCAATATGTCATCTGGCCTTGTGAGCGGCAGTGTTTCCGAAATGCAGTATTTTATACGGTGTGGGATCCATAAGTATGAATTTTATTGGTTTTGTCTACGAACAAGTTTATCGTGGTAATTGTTTTGGGTGTGTGTGATGGAGCCTGAGAAAACGCGGCTTCCTCTATCCGACAAGCCGTCTGAACCATGATACTTCTCAGCGTATACTTATCTTTGTTGTTTTTGTTGCTGTTCAATGACTACTATCTCTAAATGGGCAACTAAACTGAGTCATAATTTAAAATGGGTCGGTGAAAAACCCGTCCTTCCACGAACAGACGAACCAGAGCGATGACCGTACAGTTAGTAATAAACAATATATTTCTAAACGATTTTTTGGTGAAAAGGATAGCATTAATATCGATTAAAACAATCGTCAAAAGCTACCAAATTGCACTGGTTTGAATGAAATCTTTTCAGTGGATCTTAGGGGTACAGTTGTCTGTGCTCCCCCAGAAAGAAATGTGCATGACAGCCCTTTAACAAGCGTTTTTTTTGCAAGTGTACTTATCCTAACCTGACAAGTCGTAGTCAACTTAGGGTGTTACTATTGAGTGGATTCGTTAAGTAATCGCTTGTCAGCTGATCAGAATAGAGTGAATTATGATTTTGTGATTAAATGCTCCAACTTCACACTGGGATTTTGGAAAACCTCAACAAGTAAGCTTCCCTTATGACTGTCTAATGTTAACGTTAATAATGAGTTTGTGTGCTGAAACAAGGGTTTCAGAGAATTGTAAAAAACATCAATTCTTACCTATCACAGTTGAGCACCACGATGTCTGCCTGCCGTCCGACAGTTATGGCTCCCACACGGTCAGACATGTTGAGGCTATAGGCTGCGTTGATCGTGGCCCCAGCCAAAGCCTCCTCTGGTGTCATGCCCAACGTTGTGCATGCCAAGTACATCACGATTGGCTGAAAACGTTTAAAAAAGAATAGTCTATGAAGGGCTTTAAAAATGCGTCTAAATTCCACCTGATAGGGTTAGGGCGAAGCGGTTTTAGATTTAACATATACGCCTAAAAGAATTATTAAATCATAGGACAGTGGAAGCAAGAGAGCCGAGGAGATGGTCTATTCGAGTTAATGTCAAAATACCAGAATCGTAGATGAGAGCTAATGAAAAAAGTGTGATCATTTATCGGAACTCTCATCCCATTAAGGAGCAGTTTTCTCTAGGGTACACCAGGTGGGTTTAAAAGGGTGGTCATTTAGTTGGTAGATCCGTTATTTTCGCCAGAATACCATTCACTCACCCATCACTTAAATTTGGCATGAATGTTGAGTTGGCCTGCTTCCTAGTTTCTTGGATAATGTAACTGCTGTCTAACAGTTGAATAACCCATCAAAACAGTGGAAAACTTCGTGTTCAAACTCAACTTAGGTACGCCTACCATAGGTCGCAATCATCAACTAAGACTACTTCAGTCCAATTCTGAGAGGCCTGGGTCAGGGCTGAAAGCTTCCAGGAAACCATTCTAAGATCTCAATATCCGCGAGGACCGATTTCCCTTCCCGCCAACGACCATGAGGCACAGTTCGTGTCTTGGGCTGTATCACGTTAAGGCAACAACTGTGCGCCAATAACAAGTTAGTTTTAACTTCCAAACATATTTTTTTCTACCTCCGTGAGCCTTTGGAGCAACGCTTACTACGTAAGACTCCCTACAAGGATAGGTACCTACCCTGAAGGCGATATACTACCATGTCTCGCGGTTCTCGATTCAGAATATCGAACATGGCCCATTACATTAGGCTATCTGATTCGGAAATCCTGATGACGTATACACTAATATCAAGCCGAACCTGACCTAGTAAAAATGTTTATCTACTTAGTGGCTCTCTTACATTAATAAGAGATTTCTTGAATTTTGTGCACTTCAGTGGTTCAGGAACACCAGCTGTACGCAGTAAAACGCTATCACACATTTTTGTATACAATGCGCATAACATAATATATATAATAATATCTAATACAACATTTCAGTATATTAGTAATATGTACGATCAGGGTGATTCAACGACTTCTTACATCTCACCCAACATCAACTACTACATATCTACGTCTTTAGACAGACTTTTCGAACATAGGCCAGTCCCCAAGACAGTGCATATCATTCTCCCAGACACGCTGTAGTATGGATGACCATATATAGTGCACTTCGTCAGATAGATTCAAAAACACTGGTTATTCCTGCTTAGCCAAATTCGACATGGATTACTCCTTTGATTATATTGTACTTAAGTGATGATGGTGATGCAGAAGTTTACCTCAGTGATTTGGTAGTGGAGATTTGAAAAAAATTAGACATTTTCAAATATCATAGAACACATTGGGAATCGCCTGAATTCAATGGGATGCTTGCAATACTTGCCGCTTTTGGAACCTTTTCACAGAAGCACGGTCAGCCTGTCAGCCGAGGGTATGTCCAAACGTCGGCTCAAGCGTTTGGACAACATGGTACTGCAGTATGAGAACGTCGTTCAGCATCGGAAACTGTGGGTCGGGTTTGATATCGCACTGGGCGATCTCAAGAATTTTAACAAATCCTACACTTGGTAAATGGAAATTTTTTCTCTGGTCTCTTGAAAGTAGCCCAGAACTTGATGATATCAGGACCCTGTCTTCCGATACCGAACGCTCCCAGAGTCGCCAGTGCACAGAAGACCATACCAACGAATGTGACAGCTGGTTTTTTGCACATTTCTACACATGTTAGGTTCTGTTTCTCTTTTTGGGTTCCACCTTTACGTACCTTCGTTAGATAAATTAAACAAGGCGAAGCAAACAGTCTGATCACGACGGAGATCAAATCAGTTCTTTTATAGCTGAAATACACTCTGAACGGTGTGGGTGAGAGTTCTCCAGGACCAACAGCTTGATAACACTTGAGGACAAATTTGTGTTCTCTTGTTTTTCCAGGGGTTCCAAGTCTCCAGTCGGGTGCCTCATTGCGGGTGGGGAATCTGGCTTGGCGCTGCAGATGGTCAGTTGAATTGTTGTTGAAAGTGTTCATACTCAACATTTCAGCTTTCTGGATCCAACAAGTTACTCGATCCGCTCAATTTTTCGCTTGAGGTATCCTATCTATTTCTATTGTGTTGTGACCCCCCAACCGCGGTAGTTCGTGTCCGAGAATCAGGTTCAATGCTTAAATCTACTTGGTGCAGCGACCCACGAGGCTCATCAGAACTGTTTCAAATCAGAGTCTGAGAACAGTTCACTCGGCAAGAGAGAGGCTCGTATCTTGCGCTCCGTTTTGAGCGCGACGAGAAATAACAACGAATAAGCGGGCGATATGAAGTCACATGGATGTTGCAGAACAAGAGGTAAACCAAGCCACCTATAGGCAATGGTAATGCGGTTTGTATGCATTGGAAGTTGGCTTGCATGCGTGGAGAGGGGCAATAAATAGCCTGGTGGCTCTAGGTGTTTTTGAAAGTGAACATTCTGCACAAAAATAGTGCGCGACTAATAAGTGACTGCGGCAAATGCTTTCCGTTTTTCGGGCGTTTTGGTTCCAGTCCAAGATGGCCACTTGATTGAGTCTCGAGCAGGGCCGTCTACCTTCCTGCGCATTCATATTTAGGGAACCAAAACAATATCTGAGCTATCAGCTCGCCGCTGAATGGTAATTTAATCCCCGTGGAACTCTTTACGTGATTATTGGATCTACAGTCTTTTGGGGTGTAAGAAGGTACGGTGAGCAGTCTACGTTTATCATCCCACTTACAGAGTACCCCGAAAACTCTGCCAAACTAACTGCTCAGAAGTATCCGTCAACTAGTGACTGTGCAAACGATCCGTTCAGCTCGGTAATTTAGAACATGGCCAACCTCAGCAGAAGCAGCCGCAGAAGTTTCTGAATCGCTAGGGCTACTCAACCAAAGGGAAGCGAAAATTGATGGGGAAGTAAGTTCACCATGGAAGAAAATGTTTATAGCTCAGGTAGGATAGATGGCCGTTGGCTTGTTCGCTGAGCTGAGCAATGCAACCAAATTGCCCAGCCCAGAGAACAAGCCAACGACTAGTACCTAGGTTTCTAATCCTAGTTGCAAAAAGATAACATACCAAGAGAAAGCGGAACGAGCGTACATGAATAGGCAGTCTGTTGCAACGGTTGGAAGGTACCAAATGAATTGAGCAATAGGGTCTGAAATAACCCAACATTTTCACCAGACATCAGCATTTACTTGAGGGATGGTTCTGGTGTTGCCGGAAAATTCTCACAATTAATAAGGTGAGCAGTAAGCGTAACACAGTCGTGAGCCGCTTTCTTGCATCAAAGAAGCGAGAAAACCACTACTGTTTGGCCTTTAGGATCACAAAAAATTTGCCACACAAAAAGCCCCATCCCGCCAAATTTTTCACGTGATGTTATTTTTTGCTTAATCCGCTCCGTATTGAACTTGGTTATGATTTCTTCAAGGACAGTTCCCTAACTTTCCCTAGCTGTCTGGCATTCTAGATATGACACTTATTTCGCTATCGATAAATGCGTTGCACTCATGCAGTCCTTTTGTTTTTCTCGTTAGCTGTCAGGCTACATGAAAAAATTGTCTTTCCACCCAGTTACGATCAACGCTCCATTGGCAACAATGAAAGGATCATATCTCAAAGTACGCCATAGATTAATTTGAATTGCCTTTGTATATTTTTATCGCCTTTTGAGACATCCACACCTGCATGTATATCGGAAGAAAAACATATTTTTCTCCGCACAGATGTATCCAAATAATCCCAGAAAGAGGAACAAGATGTAGTTTGTAGCTGGAAACGCTTTGCTTGGTGAATAGATAACATTAAGTGAGAGGCAAAGCACAAATAACCCTGGTACTTTCAACAAGTGTGCTCCAGTCCGTAACTTCTCTGACATTATTTTGTTGTGGTTTTTATCAGTTTCATTTCAACTGCAGTGATGTCTACATCACCGTTTTTAAGTTGGTTATTTATACTCATACCTTAGCGTTTAGTGATCCCTCACAGTAGGAGTCTCCAGTATGGCATGGTCGAATTGGCTCCCCCTGGAGTAGCTTCTTATTTAAGTAGATCGAACACATCTCATCTGTCATCTAGCAGCTGAATAGCCTTTGTGTCAAACATTTAACATGATAAAAAATATTTTTATTTATTTGGGTTCACTTCTGTCCTCCATACGTGAAATGTGGATCTCACACTGTAAGCAGTTAATATGGGATGCCACTAAGGACCCGAATATCAAGTTTACAAAGGCCTTTTACTTGAGGTATTTAGTCTGTTACTGTTCCGTGGTCCCAAAATCAGTCTGGGCGTAATTGCCATTCACAGTTATACTACCTATGATATCCTCAAACTACCCTTTCCAGAACTGTGGAAGTCATTATGTACAATAAGGTAGCAGATATACATTGCCCTGGAAAGGCTTTCCTGAATACTTGTCCCGAATCCGCAATCCGCCCTCATCCAACAATATGTAGACTGATTAATTTTTAGTGTAGGGTAAGAAAGCAAGTAATTAGTGCGTACGTGTTCTAAATGGTTCACAACTTTGTGGTTTCCAAAATTCTTGCTCTCACGGTATTCTCTACATTTTCCTAGCATGGACAGCGTACTAAGTAACCGGTCTTATAGTGAGTCTATCAACATGTGACGGAGCATGGTTAAGTAAAACGTTCACGAAGTGCACCCCGATAGAAACACAAACTAAGACTGGGTTAGTGCTGGAAATAAGACGTACGTGTTCTAAATGGTTCACAACTTTGTGGTTTCCCAAATTCTTTCTCTCACGGTATTCTCTACATTTTCCTAGCATGGACAGCGTACTAAGTAACCGGTCTTATAGTGAGTCTATCAACATGTGACGGAGCATGGTTAAGTAAAACGTTCATGAAGTGCACCCCGATAGAAACACAAACTAAGACTGGGTTTAGAAACGGAATAATCCAATCTGCACTACCCAGTGATACCGAGGAGTGCGAAAAAAGAAGCACATGGGACGCGAAAGCTCTTTAAGGCAAAATACAGTGAGAATTTAGATGGCACCATTATTATTGACGGTTATATAACGCTCGCAGTGACAGGCGGAAACCGCTTCATGCCAGGTAGGCAGTGCCAATAGTGTCATCTCAACAGAACTTGGCGGTCTTAATGGATAAGAAAAAGTTAACTCTTGGGGTGCTGACGTAAAATCTGCAATGGTCTGATGGATTACCAGCCAAACGAAAAAAAATTCCCCCAGTGCGAGTGAGCTCACAATATCCTGAGAGTTCCTTAGCTTTGATAAGATACATTACAACTTTTCCAGCACCCTCTCGTGTTCACACACTGCGCATTCTCAGACCAACAGTACGCATACACAAAATATCAGTTGATTGACATTCCAGTTTGGCCATCTCGGTTCGAATGTGCGACCGATTCAAGCAGTCTTCATATGTGAGCTCAGCATTTGGAGAAACCGCATCACACATTAAGGATAGTGAGAGTGTTGTAACCGCATTCTACCGAATGCGGTAGAACTAGCAGCCATGCAGTTTATGGGAGTTTGTAGAGGCCGAATTTCACAGTGGAACAAAGTCCACATCTCCAAGCTTGCGACTAGTTTTTTGGACCTACTGGACAGATAATTCAACTAGCTAACCCGTAGAACAGAGAAAGTTCGAACCAACTTGTTGTCCAGTTTTTCGCTCACCGTAGTTGAGACGTTAAATATCGTCTGGTGGAACGGAACATAGTCCTTTGATGGATGCCAGTGACCCACCCATGCGAAATTACGGTGTTTGGCCACTCAGTCTACCCCTTGAGGATACCACAAGCTCGGGATCGAGTGCCAGCAATCTTTACCTTAATTAACCACTTTCCGTGGGGTTACAGAAAAACAACTCATAGAGCCCGGTGTGGTGCATTTGCAATATTCCTTCTTGTTGGAAAAGTCGACTACTCCTGTGATGCT